AAACGGTGCTCGAACCGGTGCTTAAAGAATGGAGAACACAAAATTGGTCCAAAAACCTCTCATGTTCAGCTGTTTTTTTGTAAAAAGATGACAGTGTTAGCCTTTTCTGCAGCTATATGGGATTTATGGCATCACTCTTGGCTGGAAGAAGTGCTTAAACAATGGAAAAAACAAACTTTGTCCAAAAACTTCTCATGTTTAGCTGTTTTCCACTTTTTCTTTGGCTTTTTTTTTGGCTTAGCCTTTTTGGCAAGGGTGAAGGGAGTACCTGCCATCAAACAAGAAGACAGCCACATGTAACTATGACTGTGTTTGCTAGTTCACCTTACATGCATTAATTTAATAACGTGGTTAGCCTACTCAACGTAAATTAAACACGAACAACATTAAGCTACTCGCGCAGAGAAGAACGGCTGCTGCTGCCATCATCATCCGTTATCATTTCTGCCACACTAGCAGGACTAGGGGCCAGGACTCTACTCTTCTGGTTTTTGGGGGATGTTGCTAACTCCAGGTCAGATAACAGGCAACCCACGCGCAGTAGATGTGCACGGTGTGAGGACTCGCAGAAAGATATCAAATACGGCGCATTTTTCGGCTTTTAACAAAATGCTATACGTCGCCAGGTGTTTCATTAGATTCGAGGAGTTACCTCCTTTGCACAGTATCCTCTTAAAGCACTTGTTGCAGGCTGCTGAGTTTGCATCTTTTGCTGTGAAGTACAGCCAGACTTTGACCGCTTCGCTTTGGGCAATTTTAATCTGTAGCTCTGCTCTAAAAGAACGTACGTACCTGGGCCCACCTACTACGCTCGCAAAGGTAAAATGATTGGCTGGAATCCAAAGTGTATGACATCTCAGGGGAAAAAAAGCACCGAAATAAAGCACCGAAATGTGCGCTGCTTTTCGGTCTGGTTACTACCGTTTATGTCAGAACTGGTGCCATAATGGCACTGGATACCGGTACCCATCCCTATGCGTAACACGTAATTACACAGTCGAACAATAAACACATACTGCCCATACATCAAATATACCAGGGGCAATTATGAATACACCACAGTTGTAGGGTTGAAATTGTTCTAACTGGTATATTATGAAGTGCTACATGATCACTAGCAACACAGCTATATTAACATAACATTCAGTGGCTTGCAAAAGGCCCCCTTGAGCCACAGATTCTCAATTGGATTTAGATCTGGACTTTGACTGGGCCATTCTAACACATGGATATGTTTTGTTTTAAACCATTCCATTGTTGCCCTGGCTTTATGTTTAGGGCCGTTGTCCTGCTGGAAAGTGAACCCAGTCTCAAGTCTTTTGCAGACTCAAAGAGGTTTTCTTTCAAGAGGTTTTCTTTCAAGATTGCCCTGTATTTGGCTCCATCCATCTTCCCATCAACTCTGAACAGCTTCTCTGTCCCTGCTGAAGAGAAGCACCCCCAGAGCATGATGCTGCCACCACCATATTTGACAGTGGGGATGGTGTGTTCAGAGTGATGTGCAGTGTTAGTTTTCCGCCACACATAGCGTTTTGCATTTTGGCCTCATCTGACCAGAGCACCTTCTTCCACATGTTTGCTGTGTCCCCCACATGGCTTGTGGCAAACTGCAAACGGGACTTCTTATGGTTTTCTGTTAACAATGGCTTTCTTCTTGCCACTCTTCCATAAAGGCCAACTTTCTGCAGTGCACAACTAATAGTTGTCCTATAGACAGATTCCCCCACCTGAACTGTAGATCTCTGCAGCTCGTCCAGAGTCACCATGGGCCTCTTGGCTGCATTTCTGATCAGCACTCTTCTTGTTTCGCCGTGGGATGTTCAAGGCTTGGGAAATCTTTTTGTAGCCTGCTTTAAATTTCTCAATAACTTTATCCCTGACCTGTCTGGTGTGTTCTTTGGACTTCATGGTGTTGTTGCTCCCAACATTCTCTTAGACAACCTCTGAGGCCGTCACAGAGCAGCTGTATTTGTACTGACATTAGATTACACACAGGTGCACTCTATTTAGTCATTAGCACTCATCAAGCAATGTCTATGGGCAACTGACTGCACTCAGATTAAAGGGGGCTGAATACTTTGCAGTTATTTATTTGTAAAAAAATGTTTGGAATCATGTATGATTTTCGTTCCACTTCTCAAGTGTTCACCATTTTGTATTGGTCTTTCACATGGAATTCCAATAAAATTGATTCATGTTTGTGGCTGTAATGTGACAAAATGTGGAAAAGTTCAAGGGGCCGAATACTTTTGCAAGCCACTGTATAATGCAACAACATGGGATTAGAGCAGCTGTGAGAGAATTCAACATTACTGAATCAATGCACCTTCCGTACCGGAAGTGGAGCAGGCAAGAAGAATGAGTTGAGTAAAGTTTGACTTATCTGACTGTTTTCTTTTGCTTAATGCGCCTTATAATCCAATGCGCATTATGTATGAAAACAGACCCGCTCATCGACAGTGTGTCTTATAATCCAGTGCACTTTATGGTCCGAAAAATATGGTAATCAAGAGTAAAGAGGATTCATGAGTCTACAAAGCTCTGAGCTGATCTGGCATCACTGGAGTTAAGAGGGCAGGAAACCTACATCTAATAGACAGCAGGTCAAGATGGCTCTGGATTAGGAAGGCAAGTTGTGCCCTGATTGGTCACCTGGGAAAGAGTGTCTGATGTTGCAAGCACAATCTGATGACTAGGAGTTTTTCTGGTGACTAAATTACTAGTTATTAAACCATGTAACTGTTACATTTTTCAGATTTTGCCCGAAATCAGCCAAAAGGCTATGAGTTCACAATACAAAATCTGAGTAAAACCAGGCTCATGCTCAGTGCTCCAATTCAGCCTAAAGGCAGTTGATGAAATGTCAGTTAAAATTAATTTGCAGGCCCATGTTTGTTGGACACAAATTTGTTAATAATACATTGAATGGATGGCGTAATTAACTGTTGCTCTTGAGCTAAATCCAGATTTGAATTTGAATCCAAAAACTGCTTTAAGCATTCTTTACCAATGGTGTGGGGTTAATTTAGCCTTGGCAGAGGTATGCAGTCCCTGATTGTTATCTTACCCCTAATATCTTGTCACTGGAAATAATATTCTGATTATTACTTAGTGATGAAAGACAAATTTAGAATTAGATGGTGCATTTATTTATTTATTTTAATTTTTTTACAAGAACAAGGCTCTGAGTGTTTAGTGCTGACCTTGGTGAGCATGGTAAAGAACACTAATTTGATACACATCACTGGGAGTTTAGAAGAGAAGGATGAAGGAAAAGGAAGAGAAAAGTAAATGGTGATGAAGGATCCGGCATGTTCTCTATGTGTCCCCACTTGACTACAGCAGGAGCTGTACAGGCTGTTCACTGAGGCTGGACACATGTGCTGTTTACTAAGATAGCAGCAGGAGAGGGAGAGGGAGAGAGAGAGAGAGAGAGAGAAGAGGCAGTCGCTCCGTAAATCGGTTGTTAAGCTTAACGTGGGAATGCTTTACAAACATTCAGAAATGGACTTACACACTTGCTTTACGTCTCTCGGGGATAACTTTGTCGGAGATGAAATGCTGGGTTGGTAGCGAAGCTCCATGAGTACCATTCACAGAGAGTTGGGGAATGGCTGCAATCACAGCATTGTAAGATGGCAAAAGATGTACCCTTAGGCCCCCTCCTTGATTCAAAAATGGTCTTTCCCTTTTCACGTAAATGGCCTCCTTGACTCCGCGCTCAAACCACTCCGCGCTTCCTCACTGTCCATCCTCATACTTGAAAGAGTGTCCGCTGGCCTATAGGTGTAAATAGACTGCAGAGTCCTGGCCTGACGAGGTAGCTCTTCTGTGTTGTGCCATCCTCTTAGCCAGAGGTTGTTTGGTTTCCCCGATGTATAAATCCTGGCAATCCTCCTGGCACTTAACAGCGTACACTATGTTACTCTGTTTGTGTCGGGGGACCCGATCGTTGGGGTTGACCAATTTTTGGCGCAGCGTGTTTTGGGGTTTAAAAGCCACAGAGACCTGGTGTTTAGAAAAAATGCGTCTCAACTGTTTATAAGATTGGGGAAAACTGCAGTCAGCTGAGACTGAAGAAGTCACTTGGATGAGTGACGAAATGTTTCTCCCACAAAACGTTTCTCCCACAAAACGCTACGTCCAGATGAACAATTTCAACTTTTGGAGAGGTACTTTTACTCGGCAATATTTGGCAAAATTTGACTCATTACTTTGTTTTAAATAATTAGTTTAATAATTAGATAATACTGCTAATAATGGATCATGCTGCCAGTGGAGTTTCTTGTAACTCCTTTACCAATCAGATGCAGTCACATGACCAGTTTGAAACTGTGGCAGACAGAGCGGCCCAAGTGTTTTAAAGTAGCGTGTAGATACATGGAAAGAAGAAACACATGAAAACATGGCAGAGTCAACTGTCTCCGCTAGAACTGAAGAGGATGAACACCCTTGGCCTCATATACAAAGATTGTTTCACTTAAAAGCAGTACAAAAGAACAGCTATGTTTTCAGTGTTGGTTTCTGGTCCCATTTGGAGCAAAAATAAATATAAAGTTTACAGCATATCTCGTCACTGGAAATGGTTTGCACTGTTTATATATTTATATTATTTACTGTAGATATTGGTTGAAAAGGCTTTATGTTGTGAAAAACTGAAATCTGGAAATTAGAATTGTACATATACATATATTCTATTTGAAAATACTAACATTTGTATATTTATTTATTTATTTATGTTTGTCTGATAGCATTTATTTAAAAAATAAATTTTCACCAATTACTTTTTTACTCTTATTTGGGCAACTTTTTTGACAACTACTTTTCACTTTTACTTGAGTAATAATATTTTACTATTTTATTTTACTTGAGTACAATTTTTGGATACTCAACCCACCTCTGGATGTGAAGATGTGAAGACAGCAACATTACAGATATCCTCAGTGAAAACAGGGCAGGGGGGCAGTAGACTGTCTGACCTCGACATTAATTAGACCTACCTGTGGGTTGTCCTCCATTACACAGCGGATCTTTTCCACCACATCGATGCGGCGCTGCCGGTGCAGGGCGTTGATCAGCTTGGCCAGGTTGGCATCGCTGTCCCGGATCGTCCAGTGCTGCAGCGCAGCATACGCCCTCTCATGATCAGAAGAGTAGCCGTTGGAGAAGGCAGCCACCTCACGCTCGGTGACATTAGCCAGCGACTGATAGATGTCAATCCACTGCGTGCCCACCTGGGCTGCCACGAGCTTCAGGATATCCACTCCTAAAACACCAAAAGATGGAGAAAAAACAGTTAGAGAACACATGTGATCATTTGTTCAAGAACTAATGGGTTATTCAAAGAGAAAAACCTTATTAGTTAGTGGGGAGAGGTTAATTGATTGCACTAATCACCAATCTTTTTTTTTTCGTAAGATTTATTTTCATTTTTGAATTTGAAAAACAAACAAAAACAAACAAACAAACAAAAAGCTCACAATTATGACACAAAGCAAATATCTACAACTCACTACAACATGGCAAGTTATTGTGACTACAGGAACACTCTTAAGTGTATATTCTTGTTTTCATGCCATTCAAGGATAATTCCAAACATCTGAAAACCAAACACAAAAAGTAATAACATAATAATAATAATAACATAACAATATTGGTAATTACAAGAAAGAATTAGGAGACAGTATGCAAGACAAAAAAGAACAAAAAAAGTCAGCAAAACAAAAAGTATAGAACACATTATACGAACTTTTCCCACCCTCCCCCCATCCCTCTAACCTGGTATGGCTCTCAATCTCTTTACATTCCTATATCTAGACAGTTTATATTCACAATTATTTAAAGAAACTCTTGTGTTCAGGAATCAACGCACTTCACGGTAAATCCACATCAATCAGGAAGTCAAGCCAGGAAAGCTGAACCGGGGATCAATTTAAAACAGACCCACGGGGGTTCAGAATCAGAAAGATTTTATTTATCCCCAAGGGGCAATTAAGAATTTTGAGTCACCACTATAATCTGTCAGGTCCAGAGACGGTAGTACTGCCAACAAGGGGCCCCAGATTTTTTCAAAGGTTTCATACTTCCCTTTTACACTCCGATATCTTCTCAGGTGTGCAGTAGGACACTAGCTCATTAATCCAGTGTCTCAGTGTTGGAGAATTTTCAGATTTCCAATATAGCAGAATACATCTTTTCATCGCTGTACTCGCAAGTAAAATAAAATATTTCTAATGGTAATTCACGTTAATAGAAGCTGTGTCACCTAGAATCCATAGTTTTGGGTCCAGTTCAATTGGGATTCCCATTACCCTTGAGATTATTTCAATGGCGCGTCTCCAAAATTGTTCTATCACTGGGCAATTCCACAGCATGTATATCTGGAGGGAATAATTACTCAATTTTATGTACTCTGTAAGGGGTGTAATATATCCTATGAAATATGTTAAATTGCATTTGCCTGTGTCTTATAGAGATTAACATGGTCTGTGCCTGATTCAATAAGTGGTGCCATTCTACCTCTTCATAAACATAGCCCAGGTCTGTTTCCCATTTTCTTTTTATGGATGCTTTGTTGTGATCAGGTAACTTTTCACTGATAATAGCATATATAGAAGATGCTATTCCTTTTATTGACTTGCACGGTTTGGTGCAAAGATGGGTTTCAATAGAGGTTTCTTTTGGTATCTCGGGGAATGCCCCTTTGGATTTCTCTTTGACCCACTCTCTTATTTGTAGAAATTTGAAGAAACTTTGTCTTGGAAGTTTAAAATTTTCTTTTAGTTGTTGAAAGTCAATAAATGTATCATTATTTTATAAGTCAGCAACACTTCGAATATTTCTGTCCTTCCATCCCCGCAATATTGGGTCAGCAATGTGATGAGAGAGGTCAGGGTTACCGAATAAGGGTGTCCTTCTAAGGAAAAAGATATTTATTTTCAGAAGCGAATAAGATTTCTGCCAGGCGTTGAAGGTATTTAATATTATCAAACTGTTTATAAGCTTGGATAAACATTTTTTTGTACCTAAAAATGGAACATCTTTTAATGATATAGGGTTCACCTCATGTTGTTCTATTGGGACCCATCTAACCTCACTGCTCTCTGCATGTAGCCAGATCCAAATAATAATAGTTCCTAAAGTTTGGTAAATTAATTCCTCCTCTTGAATATGGAACCTGCAGAGAAGTGAGTTTGACTCTTGGATTTTTCTTTTGCCATATAAAAGAAGTTATAATTTTATTAAGCTCTTTGAAGAAACTTTTGGGAACATTTGTAGGGAGACATTGAAATAAGTAAATGAACATAGGCAAAGTATTCATTTTAATAGCATTAATTCTGCCTATGAGGGATAATGGGAAATCAATCCATCTCTGAATATTAAGTTTGGTTTGCTCCAAAAATTTGATATAATTTTGTTTGAATATATGATCCTCGGAGTTACCAATTTGTATACCCAATATGTGAAGCCATTATTACACTACTGTAATGGGTCAGTAAGAACTCTAATACGGCTATCTTGTATATTTAATGGCATAATCTCGCTTATGCTATAGTCTAGCTCGTATCCTGAGGGTGTACTGTATTGTTTAAGATACTTCATTAATGAGGGAATTGATTTAAGTGGGTCAGTTATGTATAGTGGGAGGTCATCTGCATATACAGAAAGTTTATGTTCACTTGTACCAAATTTGATTCCAGATATGGAGGCACACTAGTGCTCCTGGAGTCTGAGGTGGAGTCTGAGACCCAAGCTGACATATAGACACAGACGAACAGGTGCACGCAGATACAAACGTGCATTCCCACCCCCATATACACAAACAAATACTTGGCATTCACCCGACGTGGAGACAGACACAAATAGACACTGTACACGCATTCACACTCCCCAAACATACTCTATATCCCAGGTCCGGGTACCCCTGCCCCCAGAGGGGCAAACTGTACCCGGACCCAGGAGATGTAACTCTTCTCTCTGGGGTGGAGGACTACTAGGACCACTAGCCACCGCCATTCGTACTAACATTCGTACTCAGACTCCACCTCTCTGGGAACATCTCAGGCTCTCTGAGGTATGGAGGCTTATCTCCCCTAACCACACTCCCTGCCAGTGGCTGATGCCCCCAGACGTTGGTGTGTTGGTGGTTCTTGGTAACTGGGGCTGGGTGCTCATGTATGTACCGTCTCACTCCTGGTGGCCGATTGG